GACTTTGGAGTAGGTTGGATCCTAGCTCTGTCATTTACTGACAACATAACCTTAGATATGTTATTTAACCTCTTTAAATTTTAGCTTAGGAACAGCAATTACCTTGCAAGTGGCTGTGATGACTAGAAATAATATATGTAAAAATATTGAACATAGGACTCATCCATAGTAACTAATAAATGGAAGTTATTATTATGAAATAAAGGATTATATTAATATCTTAACTTCTAAAGTACCTTGAAAATATCTTGAAAATTCAAATTCCATACATTTACAAACAAAAATTCATTTGGGTGACAACAATGGAGAAAAAAGTGACAATTTCCCACAGTAGAAATGAATTAGACAGAATGTTTAGAAGGAATCAATGATCTATACTTGGTCAAAAACATTTTATAATGACGCGAACTCATATTCAAGATACCCTCAAAACTCTTGCTATGCTATGAAAAGCTTATTAGGTACATTTAAAAACTGAGCTTTTCCCAAAAGAACAGAGACAATAAAAACTTATGAGACTAGAGTCACATAAGGAGCCCAACCAAACAGCTTGTTAAGATATTCAGGATCAAACTGTACTAGAGATAACAGCAGTCAGAAGTGTAATAAATGTACTTACCTGAGGTGTCTCATGGCCTTTTCTACTATAATTTTGTATGAAGTCCACAAGGCCATGAACCACTGTTTTAACAGCTACCATTGCATTTTCTAGCTGCTCCCAAGTTGGTGAAACAGCATCTAAAATAAGCCACCAAAGGGATGGGAGAAGGGGTTAAGAATGTTAGCAGTAATTCTCTTGTGTTATTTACCTCGAAGGTAGAAAAAGTATAAGCAATTGAGCATATTTCCACATACCTGGATTAGGGTCTATGTTTGCAAGAAGCTCTAAATGAGGCCTCAGTCTATTTAAGTTAGCTGGGTCACCTGTTCGTTGCAAAACAATTGTCAATTCCTGGACACTCTTTGCAAATGATTCTGGAGACTGCAGCTAACAAACAAAAGACAGTGGTTTTTAAGGCACATCTATAATCAAATGCTTTCAATTAGTTAACATATTTACTAGGTTTTCAAGTGTCTTCAGATTCCATAGTAGGGGTATCAACGATGAATTACATTTTCACCTCAGAATCTGCCCTATGAAATTCATCATTAGACACTTAGAAAACTTATTTACAAGCTATATTAGCTCTCTGGGGCTACAACATAGACAGGCTTGAGACTTTGTAAGCCCAGCTGTTTTTATGCTAATATTCTGTATTTGCTTCCTTATTGCATCCTTTAGTTTATGTTGAAAGTTAAAATAATTAATAAAAAGAATAAACGATAATTTATAAGAGTCTGATATTTAAACACAGGAATCTCCAACTGTTTGTTTCTAGTTTCTTTAGAATATCCTAATACTCCTCAAAGTAACAGCAGAGTTATAAAATTAGCATCTCTAATTTCACAAACCTTATCAATGATAGACTGCATGTGTGATTTATGAGCCAAGTCACCATATAGAAGTGAAGACCATTGCTCAGGTGAAATACGGAGTCCTGCTTCCATAGCAATATGTACAATTTGGGCATCATGTTCTCTGCGTAATGCCTCATAACTCCGAAATTCTTCCTTTAGCTGCATCAGGGAAGAGTCTTCATCCCTTTTGGTAACCTGAAAAACGAAAAGAAAAAAAAAAATTCATTAGAATTGGTCTGCTCTTCTTCCCCTCAACCAATTCATTTATACTTTTGGGGGCAGGACGACACCTACTACATATCAGACACCACAAGAATAAGGTACTAAGATAATGCCCTCACCACAAATCCTTTTTGGAACAAAACAGAACTTATATAACTAAATACATAGTCCTTGTCTTCAATGGGTTCAACGGCTGTTAGGAAAGAGAGACTTGTAAACAGAAAATTACAGTAAAAGTCCTTAAATCTGACTGGTAAGGACAAGAAAGGGATTTCAGAAAAGGATTCTCCCAGCTGAAAGCTACATGAACTGAGTCTTAAAGAATAAACAAGAGTTCCCCAGACAAAGAAGGGTGAGGAATAGAATTCTAAAAAGAGAAGCAAGTGGTGGAAATAGAAACATGAAAGAACAGAGCACAAAGAGTTAAAGGCTAAAATATAGGCCAGGGAAAAATCATAGAGGGCCTTATATACTATGGTAAGAAATTTGGATACTATCCTGAAGGGAATGTGAAACCACTGAGGACTTTTAAGCAGAGGAATGATATGATCAGATTTGTGTTTCAAAAACATCACTTTGGTAGCAGTAGAGCATAGATAAAGATAGACAAGAAATTCAGTCAATGGGTAGGCATGTATCAGCACTACCACATGATGATTAAGAAATTGTGGGCTGGGC